GTCTGTGGGCGTGTGTCATTTCGAGCGTTTGTATATAGTTTCCTTACTGTTACATTTATATTCTGTGATAAAGTGAAGTAATTCAAAAGATAAATAATCATGTGGAGTGTATATTGAGTGTATATTATTATCGAAAGTTATTTATCATTGTTTTTATTAAATATAGTGAGATATTAATTTAAATACATATTTAACTATATATGCCTTAAGTATGTCGGAGAAAGGTTTTTTGACTCCACGCTGCAAGGGAATTCGTTTGAACGAATTGCAGCGTTGCAAGGGAATTCGTTCAGGACGACAAGGTGAGGATGGCTGGAGAAGTTAAGTTTTCTGCTTCTTCTGCTGTCTTCTTGAGTATAAACTTCACTCACATTTAACATCACAAGTGGTAGGGTAATTTGGCACGCTAACATAAAAACTTACAAATTGTGACACGTGTAATCTTAAAGAGGTAGACAATAGAACAAATCGCTTTAAAATACACGAGAACGACCATTAAAAAGGCATTATGAGAATGCTAACAGTTTTTCAAGTTCTTGCCATTCAGCCTTTGTCACGGTCAGAGTTGATATTAAATCGCAAAAGTTGTATAGTATTATTTTAAGCAGTTAGTTTACTGTACGTACATCATTTAGTTAATAGAAAATTTAAAAAAACATGCTCTTTATTGAACTCTCTATTCTTTATATTAATAGGATGCAAACATGCTTACGTTATTCCTAATGGAATAACGTAAGGAGGACACTTCAGTCTATATGCGCCTGCGATGCCAGTGTCCCCATTCTTTATCAACTAGAGTTCAGAGACTCAAGCAAGAACTTAGACAGCTCCGTAATCGTATCGTCATCGTCGACTTTAGTAAGGAAGGAGTTAGTTTGTTCTTACGCCCGGTAGGGGTGCTGCTTAATTTTCATAGAAACTTTGACGAGGCGATACCGAGCTGTCAAAATTCGAGCTCGGGCCTCTGGAAACCTAACGCATCACTCCAGAAATGCAACACCACCAAAGGCTTCTGCTAATACCTATGAAATCTGGAGTTTGGCGGTTGTTTCCCCGACAAGTGCTCCAGTTGTGGCGGAAAATTAGCTGTGCTCTATGATTCTGTCGGTATACGCAGTTGCATGCCAATTAAATTACTACAACTAAACGTTCTAGATGAAAAGGACAACAAGGTCAAGTGTTACCATTGTTGTGAGTTGTGACATAATAATAGGCTATTAACAAGTGTTACTTCGCGAGTGATCGGATAGCAGAATTTGGACAGGTGTGTCGTGACAAAAACAAGCAGTAACGACCGTAGAAGTGCAGACATTGTCTCTTACAGATCGGGCGCTCTCACCCGTAATTATAGGCGGCTGAGTGGGGGCGTCAACAAGCCGAGAAGATGACGACGTGGCAATTTTTTTTTGTTGACACTTTTTGAAAATATCATTGAATGTTTAAACTTAAGGTCTTGTGCTTGTCATAAGTGTAATAAAACAATGGACATAAATGTAAGTATCACGTTCCCGCTTGTCAATTTTTATAGCTGCCATAACATAAAATTGTTACTAAGAATTTGGTACTTTTAAAACCATAGGCCAGTTTTTTTGTATATACCGGTTGAGTCGCGTTTCAACACCGTTTCTTGTCTCGTCGCTTGCTTCAACAACAATATGCCTTCATGGCGGACTGTTTTATTACACCTTAATGTAGTGTCCGACTATACTCTTTATAGCCCGTGACGAACGAAAACGGCAATTACTCCAATACGAACCGTGTCATAACTTAACTTGTAAGTTTATATTTTTAATTAAAAAGTACATAATTTTTTTACACGATATAAAAAGTTGAATGAAGTAATAAAATATGATGAAAACATGATTATTAAACAAATAGACAATCACAGAAAAATTACGGTAGACAAGTATCGGTTGAACTTAAACAACAAGGTAAGTTGTATTTTAGCATTTTGTTATTACTCGCATATTTTCTTATAGCTTTAGATAAAGACAACAAACCGCATCCTTAAGTTCGCAGGGCGCTGTCGCGGTCACCGGAGCGGCTCGTCACGCCGGACTGCCCATAATTGTGCCTGTCCGACAAATATATTAAGTATTCGTGATAGAGGCGTGCACTGTGTAATTTTCGAACGTTTCGCCTCAAATACACGCTCGCTCGAGTCGAGAACTCGAGACCCGCTTCTAGTGCGAGATCTTTGGGAAAATTTTATTGCTTCGGTTGCACACAAAATGTCTATTTTTTAATCTTCTATACATTATATCAATTGTGAGACATACTTTAAATTTCTGCACATTTTGTTTTTTTTTTATGTTAAAAGGATGGCAAACGAGCGTATGGCCCACCTGATGGTAAGCGACCACCATAGCCTATGGACGTTTGTGATACCAAAAATATCACTTGCACCGTTGCCTAATCTAACCCAATCTCCTACCCCGTGGAGCACTGGAACTTTACTCACCGACTGAAACACAACACCACCAAAAGGTAGTGTTATTTTACTGTAATCTTTTAAGGTGAAACTTATTTCCTGAGATGGGTGCTCTAATTAGAGCTGAAAATTCGCTGTGTCCTACCTCTCTTGAAAATTCTATTCGTGACTAATAATACGTACTTATTAAGTTATTGCTTCTTTGCATTGGAAAATTTATACATATTGTGACATTTTTAGAATCAACCTAATAATAAAACGTGCCGGTTTAAAATTACATAACTTATAGTCCATTCTTTGAAGGTTTTTCTGTAAGGATAAATTATAAATATAAGAATTTTCAGAAAATTTTAAATGTTAATAACTAAGAAAAGTAATTAACACTAATTCTGAATTGGAATGCTAAGAAAAGACAATTCTAAAAATAAACTATTACTAAGTATAATGAAGTCGCCAATGTGTATTAAAATAATTTTGTCATAATGAATATTTAAAGTTAGGTACTTGGTTCTTTCTATTTTATGTTAGACAATTTAAACGTTGACTAAATAGTCATACCATGCAACAACTAACTCGACAACTATTGTATTTAACAAGTTGTTAGAAATATTTATTTAGAGTACCTACCTAATATTGAAGATAGATAATATAAGTACAGTATCTAATTTTCTCCATATTCGTTTATTTTACAACTAGTACAAAGATCGATTTATAACGTTTAATTATATGAATTATATATTAGTTATTATAATTAGTTCAACCGAATATTAGTTGCATTAATTGTCTGACAATTTAATACATTGTATTAAACGATTAGAATTAATTACCAAGTAATCTCCATAATTTAAAATTATTGACTTGTTCCGAATCTTATTGGACTATTTTAATTATTTGAAGCTACGAAAATTTAATGATATACCTTAGACCTAGCAATCGGTTCCAACTTCGTTTTGCTGTGGTGCATGTGGAGTTTTTACAAGGCGACATTACATAAGACGGTAATTTATACAGATAAGGTTCTCCTGCTAATAGGACTTAACAATTTCGGTTATTATTAGAATGAAAACATAGATTTTATGTCGCATCCGAAATTTAAACTGGAATGATAGTCAAATAAATATATAGACGTTACAAAAACTAAGTAGGTTCTTGATTAAGATACACGCATTTGCATAAAGCAGAATTTGAACCCACGCCCTTGGATTTTGCACTCGAGAGTGGGTAACCGTTTCCATGTGGTCATCAAATTTACTATATTTTTATATATAAATTAAATGCTGATTAGTTTTAATCGTTTCAAAGTAGTAAATAATGTCAAAAAAAGTTTATTAGTTATTGTTGATTTGATAGCTGTTATGATATATTATAATATACCTATTGGTGTACAATTAAACAATGCAAACAATACTTTCTTTGATAAATTATATTGTTACTTCTTGAACTAGTATCGCCAAATAGTTTGATAGAATAATTTCTCTTAGACAGCGCCGGTTATTATAGACTCCAACATTTTTAACATGTTATTTAGATTTAAATTAAATAATTAATTTTCTTACTTTTTAGTAAATTTGAATCTGTGAATTGAAAATATTACACAAGTAAGAATATCCTTTAAAAACAGGTTTCTCATTCGTAAATAAAAGCCAAATAATGTTATTATTCCTTCTTTTTTAAGTTGGTTAATAAAACGAATTCTTATCATTTCTTAAATGAGATAGATGATACACGATTCCACGTTGGCCAACATCTGATAAAGGCGATTACGTCTGTATACAACTTGATAAACACACCTATTGTTCAAGATTACATTTCGTGATATGGCTTTCATGCAATCAGAAAATATCAATAATAAGTAATTGTAAACTTATATAAAATCAGGAAAAAGTTAATCAAAACCGTTTTATAACTTATATCAAAGTAAATTACTGTAAACTTTTGTTATTAAAATTTTTATTCGATATTGTTGTTTTATTGCAAACGTCAGATTCCATAGATTTTATATTATTGAAATTGTTGTGTGACTTTACTTGGTTGATAATTTTTAATTTACAAACGATTGGTGATAGAGCCTTTACTGGCTCCGTGGCAGCAACAAACTTTACATTATGTTTATATAATTATTTTTTAATCGAGACCCATATCACAAACGCTTCAACTACGCTTTATTAGATGGAAATAGATCGTAATTTCTGCAGTTTTATTGGTTTGAACAGATTTATAAAAAAAGCAATCATAACTACAGCTACCCTGAATGATTATTTTGTTGTTAAACAAAAGGAGGGTACTTAGCGATCCATGCATTTTCAGCGCAGATGCCGTATAGTTTATATTGCCTTGTTACTTCGAATTAAGATGTTCATGGTCATTGTATTTCCAACTGCTTCAACATTGGTTATGAAAATGAACTAAGCAAAAACATCTGTCTCATTGTCTCCATTAGGTTGTAGAGTATGCCATTAGGTCAATTAAAGCAAAATCAGAATCGAAATTTTTAGAGTAAGGTCATCTTAATTCTTTGGGAGCAATGAATGATAATGAAAATCTGAGTTTTATAGAAGTACTAACTTACCAACTTGGAGTTGTTAGTAGTGCTAGTAGGAGAAGCAGCTTGCCAGACATTTTACGGCGCATCGCTTATCGGAGCGCCCGCGCAGATAGCTAGCTATACCATGTTAATTTATCGATCTGGGTACACGCGTACACCACTTTCTATCTGATACAACGTGTACAACACTGGTTCCTGTCTGTCTGGCTACAACGTAAGTAACTCTAGAGCTGGTTTCATAAGGAATATGTTCTTTGCAATTTTATATATGAAGATGAAAATAGTACAGCTTTAATATTATATACACATTATGTGAAATGTATTAAGAGATTGATAATATGTAAGCAAAATATTTTAAACTATTGAGATAATAATTATGATTGTGACTACTACTAAAACAAGAATAGAGAATCAAAATGGAAGAATGTCAAAGGTTTTTATACAGTCTGCTCATGCAACTTCATACTTTTATTTGTAAATAACTGTCACCTTTGTAACTGATTCATTACCGTTATGTGCGCACGTTGCGCATGCGCAACCGTAAGGCAAGTGTTTTTATAAAATAAATGTATATAAAAATAGGTTAATATTCATTTGTTATTGCAACAATAACAACATTAATAGATTCAAATGACATTTAAACTTTTTTCGAAATATTTTTAAACACAAACCCTCTTATTAATAAACAAGGAATAAGCTTAGACTACTTATACAGTGTTTTTTTCATATCACTCAAGTGCTATTTGTCATTCAATGAACAGAGACAAAACATAGGGTAACTAATCCAAGCTTAGTCTTTGTTTATTAATAAGGGGAATAGAGTAGGCGGTAGCGTGTAGGTAACGGATTTACCACATAGTCTTTCAGAGGCCCAACACGAGTTTTGACAGCTTCGTAAAGTATCGTAATCGTCTTTCTATGAAAACTAAGCAACGCCCCTATCGGAGGCAACAACAAACTAGCTTTTTCCATACAAAATTTGACGATTACGGTACTTTATGAAGCTATCAAAAATTCGTGCATGGGAGTTTTTGACAGCTCGATATTCACATTCCAACGATCTGGGGAAGTTATCTCCACCTCACAATAACACTACCGTTTGTTATACTCTGATATCGCAAGCGTCTATTACTATACACATAATATATATAATATACTATTACCATTAAGAGAGATATGCTTGTTTGCTATAGAATCTTTTATGCAGTAGAATTTATCCTATTATTCATCGGAAAAGGTAAGTAAGTAATAAACTTATCATTTATTAGAATTTTTATATACTTGACTCTTTGGGATTTTTTTCTGGCACCAAGGTGAAACGTCAAAAATACCTATAAAAATTCTAATAAATATTTGAAGAAGGAACCCGCTGAAAGGTGGTTTAAATTATTACACTTATGCACAATAAGAGAATTTGAATTTGCACAATACATCCCTGTTTCCAATAGATGTCTACATTTGGATGAAAAAATATTCCTACTGTCTTTGTTGGCTACTGTCTATATTGTTATCTTTCAAAAAGCTATGTAAGTAAAACAAGGAATCACTGAAAATTTACAAAACTAGTTCAGATAATCGATGAATAGCCAAACTTTGTCAACCTACTAATAAATAATTTTAGTAAGTTTATAAAATTTGTATTTGAAAATAATTACACCTACCCCCCTGTTAAATACCAGTGTTTACTTGTTAGTAAGTAGTACGTACAAGATTTTAAAGCAGAAAAGTACTTTTGCAAGTAAGATAATAATTTACAGAAAATTATGTTGCAGATAACTAGGGCTGCCATCCGTCCGGGTTTCCCCGGATTTGTCCTAGTTTACGGGGCGTCCGGGCGGGGTTTCATTTGTAGTCCGGGTTTAAAAATCTCCTGTTTGGGTCGCCAATTAATCCGTCAATTTAATGTCTTTAAAAATAAATAAATCTATTCTAACACTGTAACCATAAATGCTGACTTCCAACAAAGATCAGCTTTGTCGCCCACACTGTCCGCAATAATAGCATTCGTTGCTATGTGGATGACAGCACTGAAACTTTTTACACTGGCCGGACAAACATCCCTCGGATGGAAGAAGACGGGTGAACCGAGATTGAGATATTACTGGATCAAGTATCAAATTGGAGCCAACAAAATTTGATTGGATTAACCCAGCAAAGACACAAGTGCGTGTGAAAAAGCCTGTGTGTTCAATAGATCTAGTAAGTACCTCAAGCCTAAATATCGGGTGTTACTTTACAAAGCACTGGTCCTCTGGGCTGGAGCACCCCAATACCAGCCCCTTTCTTTTGACCGTGACATTTTTAACTGTTTTTTATTGTTCTGTCCGGGTTCTGGGCTTTAAAATCCGGGTTTAACACGGTTGCCTCATTTTAGAGATGGCAGCCCTACAGATAACAAATAGTTCGGTTACAATTACAGATGCTATACTGAAGCAATCATTTTGTAACCAATAACAAAACAGTTTTGTAAACTTTACATAACTGTTTTGTTATAACAACAACACTATTTTAACAAAACTTGTCTACTAGTAACTATAGTTATGTAGTCACTATTTTTATGTAATAGCTAACATTTTTTTTCTTTTTAAGTAACTCAATTTTTTTTCCGTGTTTCCGATTCACAGTGATGTGCTACTAGAAATGTAAAAACCCCAGTAAAATACACATTACTTTTAAATTTGTAAGGATTTCCCAAAACGTTATGTAAATATTCACGGAAAATATCGGAAATGGTTCCTCACTATTCACGGTCTCTTTTACAATAACACATTGTAGTTTGCATTGAAAAGAAAAAAAGGCACAATTAAAATGGATTTCAATCTAACAGTGCTACACTAATTAGCCGACATCGAGCGTCCTTTGTCGGGAGGCTTAACAAATGATTCAATTGGTGTTGTTAATGGGCGGAGCTGGTCTCCCAGCACTCGGACTCGATCGCAGTCACGACACCAGCTCAGGTTAATGGATATCGCGGTTATAAATGTTATTTTGATATTGAGCCTTTATGAAGAGTAATATCTATTAATAACAAAAGATGGTCAGATAAAACAAAGCCACGACCGAGGCAAGTAGGTTTTTGAAATATTCTCGTTTCACGATTAATGATTCTCCGAAATAAATGAAGGAGGGAAATTATATTGTAGGTACTACGGAATTTTCCAGTTACCCAAACAAATAATGGACCTAAACTCATTACGTAGGTAAATGTTTATAAAAGCAAAAAAAGAAAACGTATTGAACCTCCTACCTCCTTCTTAGAACTTGAGCTCTGGGTTGTTATTTCAAATCAAATACAAATTAATTTTAAAAGGAATTAATAAAATAACTTATACGTGCATGAGAGAATGGATTTATCATAATATTGAAACGTACTTGAAATTATCATAATATAAAAAAATATATTCATTGCTACTTTTTGTTTTAAATTGTTACAATACTAAGTTCCTTTGGTAAGCCATAGTTAAATTATATTAAACCTTTTATTTATTGTATTACCAAAATTATACGAAGAGAACTTGATACATTGTTTGGGACCAAGTTTTTTTGTGACGAAGCAATCAAAAGATTTACAAAGTCCTCCAATCAACCAAAAATAGAAAAATAATCGAAAATTTAATGAAACCTTTTTATTTTTTAATGCAAAAAAACACCCATCACCCGCACACTTCAAGAAGGATACTAACCTATCCATATTTTTTATACAGAATAATTCCGCCAAATCGCACCGCCATAATTTAAAAGCCTCATCATCATTATCTACATGATGACGTCGATGCCTCTTTGATATTAATTTAATGACTTAAGGCTAAGTATTGCGTCTAACGAATGGCCCAATCGTGATGTTAATCGGGATGTTGGCTCATTACGGCCTCATTAACCGAGTCCCCGGGCTGCGATGTCATTTCGCCAACCAAATCTTTTGTTTTTAAACTAATTAAGGTATTACCAGTGTTTTCTTTTTTATTTTAACAACGACTTGACTCGTTTCATTTGTTTTAATTGTTACATGTGTCGCGGTAATCTTTGAGTTACAATTACAACGTTGATTAAGGTTTTTTTCATTTGATTAGGTACTCAAAGTACCAGGACTTTGAAGTGAATAATGTGTACTGTGTATGACAACTGCTGAATTCTTTTTAAGAACAATACCAAATGGTAAAATTAATATAGAATATTAAATTATAATGTCTTCTTGTTCATATAATTTATTTCACAAATAGGTTTGATTCTGTGCATTGTTCTTCGATAATATGTATCCAACTGATTGGTAATATAATACGCATTTAAATCGCAATAGCAATATAACAATTTATAAAATATTCGGTAATGATTAAATTTAATTAAAATGGATTAAACATAATTATATCAGACGAAAACGGCTGTCTTCCAGCAGCATTCCTGCCGACTGCCTGTGGCTCGTGGCATATCAATGTCACTACTTTGTACTTCATCCTACTAATATTATGAATAAGAATGTTTTTATTTGTATGTTTGTAACTCAATGACGGAAAAACAGACAAACGGATTTACGAACGGACTTATACGAAACATCAAAAAAGTATTAAGAAGACGGATTTTGAAACCGTTTAAGCGTGTTTCATTTAATGAGTGGTGTGCGTGAAAAGTTACGATACCATTACTATTTTTTTTTTCTTTTCATATGTTTGAGATTAAGTTAACGAAGTTAAAGGAATTTAATTATAACAGTTACAATGAAAAGAATTAAATTTCGATGTAAAAATATAAAATAAAAACGATTTAATGACACAGATAAATTATTATAGATGATTTAGCCATTCACAACGTTGTGAATAACGTAAGACATTAATATCGTCAAATATTATCCGGATTCCAACGTATACATGGAACAATAAATGTTAGCCATTTCAAAATCAGAACGGTATGCATGTACGTTTGTGTATCATGCTTCGTCGCCGTTTGACGAGCGCATTAAAACTTTTATTATATCGTTAGACAGAATAATAACCAGCAAGCTCGAAACTCACATTGATGGACATTTAATTCGGTGACAGACAGGCAGCCAGGTGGTCCCTGTCCCTAAATTTCGAACCATTTTTAATGGGGA